CTTATACCCATATATGTTTTCAGCCACGAAAATTGAATAATTTCAAATCTTTCGAATTTTCACCACCAAGAACGGCGGTGACAACATTTTTAACAGTAAGGCGATGTTTCATATTGTATTATCTATGTTCTGCTCAAATATTGTTCGTGCAACTCTCTTGGTTCCGACAATGCAATACCTATGTATGTTTTCAGCCACGAAAATTGTATAATTTCAAATATTTCGAATTTTCACAACCAAGAACGGCGGTGATAACATTTTTAACAGTAAGGCAATGTGTCGCATTGTATTAGCTATGTCCTGTCCAAATTTTGTTCGTGCAACTCTCTTGGTTTCAACAATGCAATACCTATGTATGTTTTCAGTCACGAAAATTGAATAATTTCAAATATTTCGAATTTTCACCACCAAGAACGGCGGTGACAACATTTTTAACAGTAAGGCGATGTTTCATATTGTATTATCTATGTTCTGCTCAAATATTGTTCGTGCAACTCTCTTGGTTCCGACAATGCAATACCTATGTATGTTTTCAGCCACGAAAATTGTATAATTTCAAATATTTCGAATTTTCACAACCAAGAACGGCGGTGATAACATTTTTAACAGTAAGGCAATGTGTCGCATTGTATTAGCTATGTCCTGTCCAAATTTTGTTCGTGCAACTCTCTTGGTTTCAACAATGCAATACCTATGTATGTTTTCAGTCACGAAAATTGAATAATTTCAAATATTTCGAATTTTCACCACCAAGAACGGCGGTGACAACATTTTTAACAGTAAGGCGATGTTTCATATTGTATTATCTATGTTCTGCTCAAATATTGTTCGTGCAACTCTCTTGGTTCCGACAATGCAATACCTATGTATGTTTTCAGCCACGAAAATTGTATAATTTCAAATATTTCGAATTTTCACAACCAAGAACGGCGGTGATAACATTTTTAACAGTAAGGCAATGTGTCGCATTGTATTAGCTATGTCCTGTCCAAATTTTGTTAGTGCAACTCTCTTGGTTTCGACAATCCAATACCTACATGTATACTGAACATTTTAGAATATAAAATTCAAGTTTCAGGTAGAATATCTTCGAAATTAGTTGAAGATTCTCATTTAGTTGTATCGTCCACATAGATCGCAAAATAATAACAGATATAAACAATTCATTGTTAGTAATATTTTAAACTCTATTTAACTTTATATCAAAATTTTAGTGATTTTGGTGACTGTAGTTAGTAATGACCAAACCGCAATAACTTTAAAATGAAACAGAATGGGTCATGTTTCTCTTCGGCAAGATATTCGTGATCAAATTCCACAAATATTGTTCCAATTTGATCGCCCTAGTATAAATAAGTATAATCGAACCTCATTGGCATGACTCGAAACTGCTTGTCCCAGGTCAGAAGACATTCTAAATTAGGTGTCTTATGTTAGGGCAGAGTGAGACGCGGTGTGATTTTATAACTGATGTATTATATATAATCGTACAGGTAATGCAATGATAAATAAACATTAAACATAAAACATCGGGGTCGAGAGCGTACAGCAGTGCGAACCTCGCAACGTCACATACAACGCTTGACAGGTGACAGCAACGCAGGCTCGATCTGAATATGGAGTCCGATTTTCACACTAACATCTTATTTAATCGGTGTCTCTAAACAATAATAAAATTATTTAATAGGATCTGCTTATATCTGTTGAATGGGAGTTCCATCTCTCTAAAGTCTTGTTACTGTTGTGAATTATTTTTTGTTATAATTATTAATTAACAGTGCAAGGGAATTTAATGAATAAAGTAATTTAGAAAAATACCAATTTCGCGCTCTTTGAGCGTGAATGTAGTAATTATGTTTTAACAGTTTGAAAATATTTATGGGTACATGGGTATCGCGTTTTATTTATTACGGATCATTGAAAGGACGACGTTAATACAATGTTATCATATTTTTATGAAATATGAGTTTTATTATATTTAACTTTTGAGATAATAATAAGTAATATTATTCCCGGTAACGACATATCGATAAAATTAAATGAATTATTTTTTGGAATTGTTTTTGCTTTTACTTCCCATATTAAATTTTAACCTATGCACTTTCTTGAAATGTAATTCTATTAAAATTAATAAATTTGCAAGGACCTTGTTCTATTTTATTTCATATCATATCTTACTGGAAAATGAGTACACATAATTTTGAATATATTTGATAAGTTAGTCTTTCATTTTATTTAAAACATTACATATTTAACATAACCACCATATGTAGTCGTAAAAATCACCTAGATAAGGTGTGGTCTAGATTTTTTTTTAAATACTTTGAAAGCGAATTTTCTACGAATACCAAAGATTAATAGTCTTTCATGGCATTTCTTTGGGTTCATATTTCCTCCATTTTTCAGCCTTTCAGCTATTTCTTTCGGATGTATACGTGAGTACCTTTTCCGTTAGACAGAGCTCTGACCATGACAATTGATTTATGTGCATAGATTAGTCTTTCTTTTCTTCTGTGTTTACACGGGGTGTTTGAAATTGGAGAGTTAGGGCGAAGTTGAATGATTCGGAACTTTTTATCAAGCGTTTCCAACTTGTAGGAAACATACCTGCACAGATTGGTAGATTTGAACTTGGGAAATCTACTTTAATCTACGCTAGGTCATCGGTTATTTTGACGCCACATTAGGTAATGCAGATTTCTGTATGTACCGGGTGGTCCGTTATAATTGTCCACCCCCATCTAACTCCCTTGTTATAATATATAGAAAAATGTTTAAATTTAAAAATAAATTAGCAATTTCCTGTCTATTTCTCTCGAAAATTATATGAAACTTGAATTAATCGTATGAGGAATAATTATGTAAATAATGGCATGAGATAGAGTCATAAATGAACAAAAAAGTTTTATATTACAGAGGCGTAAGATTAACAGTTTTCAAAATACAGCGAGTATTAATATTGGGGAGCTTCGTCACAACGTGACAACAGCGCTTAACCTGCTGATGTACACGCGGCAGACTTGTCCTACGGAAAAAATGTAAACAGCTATTATTGTGAAACATTTAGCAAATTTCAAGACAATTGTTTTCCAATTTTTAAATAAATAAAATAAAATGATTTTGTAGTGCGAAGATATTGCTGTGCTTAAATTTTAGCTCGAACTTTAGTAATTATCTTAAAACAGGAACTTAACGGAATCAAATTACATATTTGAAAAATATTCACGTCGTCCAAATAATCATACGTATTAAAAATAATTTAGGTACTTACCAAAAAGCAAGATTTAGTAATTTTTAAACGCACAAGTACAAAACAAACTACAACAAATGCTCAAAATGTCCACCACCATTTTCGATGCACGAACTTCACCTTCGAATACAATTTTCGCGCACCCGCTGGAAAACACCTCAAGAAAAGGAAATAGTGGTACGTAAAAAACACTCCGACACAGTCGAATCCAGATACCAACTGAATTGCGTATTGGTGGTTGCTGGACACTTTAGTACCTCGTTTTAATAAACCGCCACGCCGTTGTCACATTGCTCGATATGAATTTTATCGAACTTTAAATTTATTACAACGCTAATTATTTTTTAGAATTAAGTATAAAGAAAGTTCAAAAAAGTTATAAACATTGTATTTTATGGTATTTTATGCACGCAGGTATGTCAATATTCCTTAATTAATCGAACTTTTGTACATCAAGTTGGAGATTTTGATAATTTTTTTCTCGGAAATGGTTGAGTTTAGGACCCATGTCATATAAGATTTTTTTGTTTATTTTAATGTATTATATCGTCTGTTAAAATTAAGGCAGTCAAACTTCTAATACTTTGTATAAAGAAAGAGTAAAGCGAACTATACACCTAACTACAAATGTAGCTGTTTATCTGCACAAATAAAACTGATCTGATCGAAATAAATCGCAACGCTTCTTAACTCACAGTTAAATAATCACAATTTATCGCAACATGTATTGTTGGTATTACTCTTCTCTCTGTGAGACATAATATTTAACAAGCAAAATTTGTGATGCTCACATTTATATTTTACATATCGTCATTTTTAAATTGGTATCAAAATTTTAAATAATCTACATTTTGGTGGATGCGCCAGTGAAAATATTGTACTCGTGCAAATCTTCAAATAAATTGTTTTTTTGTGTTTTCTTCAATTACCGAGAACTTTGTAAAGTGTTTCTGTTACCCTTGATAAAAGCAATGACAAAAATATACTCCTAGCCTCAAGACGATTTGAATTGAACGCCTAGATACTAGAAACGTACATCTTCGAACATGCACGAAGCTTCCAGGGAAATAAATTCCCTTGAGAATAAAAAGACAGTCTTAGTAATATTTTTACTCTTCTGTACCAAAATATAATTAAAATGTCTCGATTGACAGAAATATTTTTTGCAAATAGAATAAGTATATATTTTTAATATCTGCCGACTGATCACATTGATACGATTAAAACTTTTTTGTAACCGCTGGCTCTAGTGATAGCTCTACCTCTGCTTACAAGTTTGGTGGCCATTCATTCAAGTCGATTCATTGTTATTGTAATGGTGAATCATTTCAGTTTGTTTACTGGCGTTTATTGATATACACACCACAAGAGCACTGCCGTTTCACAAAAAGAAAACAGTTAAGACAGGATCTACAAAAATAAATAATTTGTTCACTAATATTAATTTTCTCAATAAAAGTTACATGTTTCTATAATGAAAACTAAAGTAGACCTAATGATTACCTAAAATTGAATTAGCAGTTTTTTTGTTGCTATAAAAAAGTCAGGGATGATTCCAGAGGTTCTGAATAAGTTTTAGTAATTTCGATTATTAAAAAATGTTTATTATTATTGCATTCTATCTTCCATTAAAAAAATATCTCAAAGTTTGTAGACATCTTGTATGAATTTTCATTACAACGTATCTATTGTCTGTAGATGAGTTGGTCATAGTTATATTTTGATAATAATGGTTTTCTTTTTTTTACAGACACAATAACTCTTCTGTCAGTGAGACAAAGTAAGTATTTTATATTTAAGTCGTAAAATTTGTAAAACATCTGCAATTTTGTAAATTTGGAAGTGCCTGTACAATTTTTTTTTTCTTTTTTTTATTACTAGTACCACCCAGTCTAATGTAAATAATATTGGCAAATAACTATTTTACTGAAGCGATAACCCCGCCATTATTTTCCTCGTTTAATTTACTGTCAGCTTTGACTGATTTCCATAAGTATTATTCAGGACTTCTTTAGTGACCTAATATGAAAGAAAAAGTGCCTCGAATGGCCTTGCTTGTTTATAGGCACACATACTATATGAACGGTTAGGTGATGTCTCATCTTCTAAATTTGTTTATGCTGGTATTTTTGTATATAATAATTAATGAATTAAGTAATTAATTTAATTTTGTATGTAAATTTTTCTCGTAAAACAAAGCAAGGGACCAAACAGAATGATTACTCTCGTACACACCATATTCCCCATAAAAAACTATTCACATTGACATTACTAACGCGTTTCAAACTTGAGCGTGGAAACGTGACCATTTTTTCCTTGCCTTGGTGGAAAAAACGTGACGACTTACTCATCCCCAAATACTTCGGTGCCTTAATAAACAGTTTTGTGCGATTATAATCTCCGTACTTAATAATTATTAGATTTGTTTACAATTATTTATTGTTAGGTTTTTTTTTGAGCTGGTGATTAAGCGGTCAGAAGACCTTCAAGTCGACCTTGCGTATAAACAATACGTAGACGGCGTTGGGTCATCTTCTAAATTTGTTGTGGTATTTACATAAATTAATAAAGCTGTAGGTACACTTGCCGTATCGGATAATATCATTATACAAGGTGTTTCAGTCGTAAACTTATTTAACCACGTATTCGGAAGGCCTAGTAAAGACAGATAATAGAAAAAAAATTTCTCGACCTTTTAAAATAAGCAAATTACCCCTTAACTCCCGTTAACTCCGACGTTGTAGCGAAACAGCTGATTTCCTAGTTTTCGTCTCGTTTAGTTTTGCAATTGCTTTCAATATCAAAGTGCAACGGATCTCAACTTTATTAAGACTTTATGGACATTCGTCCATAAAGTCATTTTAAATAAGTAGGTACCATACAACTCTGAAAAGGTATGCGTACTACAAACTGACTAATTACCTACTTGAACATATGTAAGACTAAAAACACATATTTAATTATAAAACAGTAAAATTGCGTAATCGTATTCTACTCATTTTTCCCTAGCTTCCCTTATAATTAACGACATTATGACTGAAACACCCAGTGTGTACAACAGTGACAAAGAGTTTAAAATAGTTGTCCCAGTTTCAATTACTCAAGTCAGTGAAAGAATATAAGAAGTAATGTAGTCAGTCATAGAAATTTCGAAATTAAAATTATTCTGAAGATGAAGAAGATACATGGCGTCTTTTGTCGGAAAGGACTCGTTAGCATAGGCGCCGTTACCTCGGAATCTAGAGGGAGAGGGGGTGTCAATTAAAAATTTGTTCAGTAATAATTTTCACATTAAAAACACGTTTTCATATTGCAAAAATTAAAAACTAAAAAAATACTAATTATTACCTAAAATTAAACTAGAAATCGTTATGTTACAACAAAAAATTATACAAAAAATCAAACTACTCGCCATTACTGAAGCAATGAATGATTCCAAAGGTTTTAAAACATTTTTTGTATTATTAATGTTAAACCTTGTTTTGCAGTTTCAACTATTTTGATATCTGATGACGATTATTGTTGATGCTTTCTGCATACTATCAAAAATCCTCTCCAAATTTGTGAACACCCTGTATGGTAGCGTTCACTTAATGGTAGAATTAAATAAAATTAAAAAGAGTACAGGAGTTAAAATTTCATTCTCGTCAATAAATAAATGTATCTACAGCGGAAATAGTAAATTTAAATTATTTGAAATGAAATCATTGATGCATCTTTACCCTGCAGCATACAAAAGAAATTTACACAAGTTTTTTTACTTTACTTGAAATTACGCTTCAAAGAACACACTTTATAAATCTGATACATCTTAGCTAAGGGTATAAATACGCTTGAGCGCTACTTCACGCGTGAAGCGACGCTTCACACAACGATTAGTACCGTTATTGGTTATAAATGTCACCCCATCTTAACTAACTAGTTAAACGTCGCTTGATGCAGTATATTTGTACTTAAAACGTGCAACATATTGACATATTGAATTGAGGGTTCGTTTTTTTAACAGCAGTTTAATTATAAATATGAGATAATTTCGCTTTAGGAATTCATTAGAACTGTTACAAAAATTACTTTTCTAGTTTTTGAATTTACACAGACACATGTCTTTCCTCAAATAATTTAGTTCCTGCAAAGAGATTTTATTCACTTATACAGGGTAATTCAGTCATAATGTCATTAATTTTAATGAATTATTAATTATTTAATGAATTATTGGAATGGATTTTACTAGAAAACGGCTCGTGCTATTAAAATCTAACCAGAGTACCTTTTTATACAAAAACTTACCGTATGTCGCTCATGTACAAGATAATCCAGTGGTTGGTTATATAGGGTGACAATTAAGTTGGAAGAACAAGAAAGAAACACCAAAACTTCCAGGAAGGATTTTGATAACAATAAAAACAGAACAAACAAACAAAATAACGACACAACGGGCTCGAACAACATTATTAATTAATTTATTAACACGCGACAGCGTACCGAGATTCAGAGAATGCGCAATCCATAGCAAAATTTGGAATGACTTTATCCATTATTAAATTAACCCGAGACTAAAATTAAGTCGACTGCTCAATGTGGAACCCAAGGAAAAACTGCCTGTTTTTTTGGAGATCTTTCCTGAATTCGACATCTCGCTTCGACAGGCCAATTTCTTGGGTCCAGACGTTTATGTTCTTATCTTACTGGCGAGAACCTGAATATCGGGACGCTTTGGTATAACTATACTATGTTAATAATTACCTAATTGATTGGACTTACATTTATATAAATAATTCTGTGACTAACTGAACTTGCAAGTAACCCTAGCCTCCCTCTAGTGACTCCGTGTAGCAATACGGGACAGATTAGTCCATCTCATTTAATCTATTCTTATAGCTTGGAAAATCCGTCTAAAAACCAGCTATTTACCTGTTATTTGTTTTCTGACAACATTCTAACAACTTATTCTTGGAATTCCTACGTTCTTTGGAATGCATTTTGCGCGTTATTTGAAATATCGATTTTCCTGTTTATACCAGATGCTCAACACAAGGCCCCGACAGTCTAAGTGAACTTGTTAAAAAATATTGCTAAATTTCTCCGAAGGCCGACGCTAAATCCTAACTTTCTAAACCTACTTGAGAGCCCTTAACTTTCGGTAATTTGTGTTGACTGAAATATTTTACTTTTTGGCCCATCGGTTCCGAGAACTAATAAATAAATTACCACGCGTCCCGGCTTTTGTTACAATACAAAATAGATGACTTCACAAGCGTCAAAGCCTACTTTTACTGTTCTACCACCTGGAGTATTATCTTAAAATAAAAAATAGCACTTGCTTACAATTAACTAAAGCAGACAAATGTGATTAGGTGACTTTAAACGATTATCTCATGCCTGAAAAATTTAAACATATTTTTCATATTTATTGGATTTTATATCGTGATACATTTACGAAATGAACCAAAATGTTTTAAACGCGCGGTATACATAAAATAACAATTTGTACCGTTTTAGTGAAGTAAAGATTATTGTCGTAAAAAATGTATGCTTTATATTTTCATCACATAAATTACAGCGCAAAACAAAACTTTTTTTTGTTGTCACACGTCCCATTTTTAAATAAAATGACTAAGTGGGTATACGAGTACGGTCTGCAGGCCCGGCGGATGTAGGGCTTTGGCGAGCTTTTCCACAACAGCAAAATATTTACTCATCGGCGTAGAGTTGTGATGTCAGCACAATTAATTTCATTAATCGAAAGCCTAATTACCGGTTTCAGCGGGTTCGGCGCTGGAACTGGCTTTTATTTTTATTGTCAATTTCATTAAAGTAATGGACGGATGTGGATGTGTTTCAGTTTGTTCGCGACCGTCGCGCTCCATCTCGTTCAGCCTTTAATTGGGTAAGTTTATTTTTGTGGTTTGAATGCGATTATAGCTGTTATCTCTCGCTAGGTAGGCATAATTAAGTGCTGGGTTTCATGCGCCAAGTAAAAACCAGAAATTCCTTCAGTTAATATATTTCAACTTAAGCTGTTCTTAATGAATCACTGATAATTAGATTTCTACAATTTTTCCATCAATATGAATTATTTTCGATACGCTTCTGTTTCCGTTGTTTTAAAGCGAAGGAAATTAAAAAGGTGAGTCATTGATTAGTGGTTTTTCTAAACGTCTGTAATTATTTGAAAACTATACCTGACAATCTGTGTAAGTTATCTTGTAAACAAATCATGCGTGACTGAAATACTTAAAGAAAATATACAAATGTTCAAACTAGAGGCTACAAGATTGCCCGCTTTGTTAGTTTCGAATTAGCAAAGTTGTATATTTTTTTAACTGATTATGGTAGCCACGGAAAACATTTCGACATGATAAAGCACTCTGTTCGCGGAATGTTGTAGTTTGGTTTATTATTTTAGTGAGTTATGGTTAAACGTATAGTTTACACAGACAAAACATTTTCAGTTAGATATTCCAGCAGTTTTTAGAAAAACAAATTGTGGCTACATATCTTCACGAAATTATTCCCAATATTGCTATAGTGGAAAATTGCAGTGTTTTTAATTTAAAAAAAATACACGGGAAAAGTAAAAAATTCCATTATTATTTGTGCTAAGTAGAGGGATTACAATATCGAATTTCTGTAAGTTGTAAATACTTTACATTTTCCTACATCTGTATCTAATGCAAGCAATAAAAATATCATATCAATAAATCATCATAATTATAGTTTTAATCAAATTATTTTACCTTTTTCGAAATCTTTCCCTTTTTTAAATTATACAAGGTGTTC